ATCAGACGGCGCCGTATGAAAGCATCTAACCCTTTTAGCTGTTGTAGCCAGCCTTATCTGTAATGGTAAGGACTATTAGAAAAAGGAGTTCCATGAATTATATTCTGAAGACAATAGATAAGCCTGAATTTAAACCGTATATGTTTATATTTTCTGAAGCATATAAACTAAATCTATAGAAATGGTTAATAGAGTATTTGTTATATATTCGAACTACTTCTGATCATCTGATATTGAACATTGGATAATATATTTAATAATGTTATATGCTATGAAAAAATGTTGACAGGAACCCAAAAAATTTCAAGAAAATTGCTGGCTGGCCAGTTTATGCCATATTTTATTAATATTCTTCATATGCCTATTGCGGAATGCGAGAATTACCAACTGCAGTAAAACGCCATATATCTAATATGAAGAAAACTCAGTTAAAATTAATAAAAAAAACTTGGCGAAACTATCGATATTAAATATTGTCATTTATTATTCAATAATTATTTTAAATGAGAAACCAAAATGATAATTCTTTTTTAATTATTATTTAGCGGTTTTTTTGTCGGTGCAAGATACCACTAGAAATTACCTGGGATCGACTTGGGTTCGAGGTTTGCGTTCGGCTGATGCACCAGCTTCGCTGAGTGGTATTGTCATCACAATGGATGAAAGCAAGAGATAATAGCTGAATTCTATTGAATGGTCCAGTTTGTTGCTCAACCCGATGTTGAGGTTCTATTCTCGGTAGAAGTAAATCTACCGTTCAAAGATTGGGAGGGATGGGATTCTGGCAACTCGTCTGTATATCTCTATAGCTAAGAGACTTTCTGGCACATTCGTCTAGTCCGATAAGCCAGCAAAGCACACCAGCAGTGATAAGTATTTTTTAAAAAAAATCGTGTTATCAGCCATATTTGGTATTAATTTTAAATTTTTAAATTCCTTAAAAGGCAGCAACTGCAAATACATTCATAGCGCCTCAAATTCGCAAATTTCTAATTCTTTTCGATTAACAACAGCCTTTGTTTGAAATAAATTTATGTGTTAATTTGCATCATTTTTTTTAAGTAATTTAAAATTTATAAAAGAAAATGAGAAAATAAAAGAGAAAAAGATTTTATAATTCAGCAAAAAGAGGTGTTTGGACAATGTTGTAGTATTATTAAAGGATCGCAAAAATATTTAATATCAACCAATTAACTCAATTTTCTCTCGTTAATCAATCCGCATGGATGTTCAGATTTTTTCACAATTTTTTCATCGAATATTAGTCGTAAGCTGATAAAAACGATGATATTTTTATATGATGCAACGTAACATTTAGTAATTATAGTATTTCGAAGTAGTGAATTGCGTGTTAAAATTATTAAAGTTATTTTCGTTCTCTTTTCTCGATTTTTCTCGAAATAAATTTTTAAATATTTTTTTCGGATGATTTAAAATTTTTCGAGCGAATTAAACCAATTTGCTGAAGAAATATGCATTCTAAAACTCGTTTTCACATATTAATTCAGTATAAAAAACCATTTGGTAAATCATCTTTAAAAAATTGAGAAATTCGGTAAAGGCATAAAAATGAATATATCCACATCAGCTGATTCGATAATATTCCACAAATATTTTTTCAAAAATTCGCAATTTTTCTAGCCCTTTTCTTTTTTTAAGTTATAGAGATATTAAAAAATATGGTTTAAATCCGAGAAATTAGAAATTATTCGAATTATCCCATATAACTCTCATTTATAAGGAAGGAAATATCAGTGATCCTTTATGATTTGCAGCAAGCTGCATAGCTCGATACCAATAATTCACTATATTCCTATTAACATGACTTCTGTAAATCCACGTACTCTGTGCATCATGCTTAGTTATTTTTAAAAAAAAAAATTAAATAATATCATCGATGATTCAAACTGTAGTTGGAGAAGGAAATTTTGATCTTGATTTTGATCTTTCTGCGTGCGATTATGTGCCGGTTACATTTAATTCGATTTGTATTATTCTGCAATTCCCTTTCTCTTTCTTTTGCATCTTATATCGATACCACTAATTTTTTTCATTTGGCACCCCTTTTGTTGCTAAGTAGATACATGGCGCTTATTGAAATGCTTAGTTGTTTTGCAATAAATAAAAAATATCATGAAAGATTGTTTGAGCATGGTCCTTTCTTCTTTTAAACGTGCCATAAAAAGTCAAATCCAGGGATCTATGTAATAATTTCTCCAGGTGGCTTTCTATCAACTCGTCTTTATAGTCATTGAAGCGAGCCTAAATAATTAAAGTTTTTTCAAAAGTCTTTTTGCTTAAATCAGTGACAATATATCATAAATTTACTTCATTTATTTTTATTTACTTCATCGAGCACAGCTAAATATGGCTGAAAAGTTTTTCCTTGAACTGTCTGAGATAACCAATCTTTATTTCGGCTTGCATCAAGCATCTTTAGCAAACTCATTTCGAAGATGGTAGAGTGCTGAAGTCGACTGATGTGAGCCAGAAAGATTTTGACGATACCGGTCTCGACATATATTAGCTTGGAGCAAAGTAGGCTTGGAGTTTAACTCAGCATTAGTTATAGGAGTAAAGCAAATAAAAACGATATATTAGTGACTGTTATAAAAACAAATTTTATTATTAATATACAATTTTATTAAAGATTTTTCATTATCATGCTTATGAAATAATTTTGAAGTTCTTAATTCCTAATATTCGATTTAGAATTTTCTAAATTCTAAATGATTTATAGGTTCTTCAGCTTACATATAAAAATGAATTTTTGAATTTTTCGAATTATCACTTTTGAATCACTTTTTTTTATCTTCATAACAAAATTTTCTTCCGGATATTTTCTTTGAAATTCCCACTAACGGTTTTCTTGAATTTAACAGAATTGAAGCTGCACGTAATTATTCCAAATTCTATTTGATGAATAATTAGGAATTATGCTAGTAATTTTTACATTTATATTTTTTCCTATAAATCGTCATATTGGTAAGTTTTTTGGAAAAGTTGTGAACAAAAATATTTCTCTGCCAAAAGATTTTTACTATATTAAGTCAAAACGACTTGATGAATTTTTTGCATGCAAAAAATTTATTAAGTTTGCTGCTTATTTGCTCGTCATCAAATTCTATAATAAAAAATGGTGGAAATTGAATGAAAGCTGCAAACATGCTTGAATGCCTGAACTGGTCAACTTATTGAAAATTTCTTCACGATTTATTTAGTCGTATTTTTGTTTATCACAATGGAGCTGTGTCGCAACCTATGCGCAAATATAATAAATGAACGAATATATTTACTAGACCTTATAATATAGAGAAAATGGGAAAAAATATTGCCCAAGATCAGTATTGCGAATTTGAAGGAATCAACCATCAGAAGTTGCATTACCTAGATAAAATATACTAATAGAAGTGTAAATCAATTTGCCGTTTCACATTTTCATGTTATCTTAATAATAATAATTAATAATAATACAACAGTGATTAATGATTAAAATTACAAGATGATAAAAAAGAAATAGGCTAAAAAACTTACTACTGAAATAGATAATGGGCCCTTAATGAAGTTTTAAATTTTCTTTTAATTTTCTCGATTTTTTCTCATCAGAATTGAAAAAGATATGAATAATAGGTTGACTAGACTATTTTGGAGCTTATGAATATCAAAAATAAAATAATTCAAATCCTTTTATTCATTCATTATCAAAAAATGTGCTTAATGTTCAGCGGAATACTGCAAAATTATCGTGCTTGCAACTTCAGTGCAACAGAAATATTAAAGGACAAAAATTTCAAAAAAATCAAAAACTTCTTGAAAGAAATTATTTTTGCAAATTATCATACATACCAACAAGAAAAATTTAATTCGTAAGCGACCGAGCTTTTACAATTTCACATTGCAAACAAGTATTTAAGTGAAAGCGAACTATGATAATACAAACACATTTAATAATAAATAATATAAATGACAAAATAGTATTAATTACAGACACTGCCATAAAAAATTTTAACAACTGTAATATTTATTTATTTACACGGGTTCAAAGTAAATAAGTCTGAGTTGCGATAATAAATATGTCCGATAATGAATAAAATTATTGAGAAGTATTTAGCAAAAAAAAGACAATTTAGCCGGTCATTTCAAACATATTTGGCAAAAAATGACATTTCATCTGAAAAAAATTCATTTATTTGTGAAATTGGCAATAAATGCGTCTTTTATTGAAAATTTGAAAATTTGAATGAAAATTTGCCGTAAAATAATTCTAAAACAATAAAGTTGAAGAAGTGAAAAAGTAAGCTATTTATCATAATAGTTAATAATTTCCAAAAACATTTCTGTAAATGATTTAATGGTTTTGATTTTGCAAAATAATAATTTAATAAATTAAAAATGATGAGGTTTGTTAAGCATGATTTGCCATATTAAATAGGTGAATTATAATAATCTAATTCATTTGACTTCATTTAGTCCTTATTTTCTGACAATTGCACAAGCCTCATTTTCATATTTTTACTATTCCTCAAATTCATATTTAGCGGCAAATATTTTATTTGAAATATACGAAATTATAATATATTTAATAAATATACGAAAAAATGTTTTAAAATTTTAAAAATCGTCAAGAATAATGTTCATAGACAATTTTCTTTATCCTTAAAGAATACGCGAAAATTAATGGAAATTGAGCTGAACTTATGAATAAATTAGGAATATGAATGAATTTCCACGATGTGGAGTAATGGAGATTTTGTGGTGACAAAACGAAAAACATGGAAATTTCTTCCGCAACTTAGCGTTAATCTTAAAATTATTGAACGATTAAAAGAAAAGAGATAATGCTATTTTAAACTAAAATCAACGATATTGATATTGATTCTCGAAATTACCACCATAAAGCAAATTTAGTTTACCAATGCAATCTTATTATTCTTCAATCTTTCCTTTAATTTTAATTTTAATCCTTTAATTACCAATTTTTTTACTTGTTTATCAGCGGTTTATCGAATTACCAATTTTATCAATTCCATTTCCACAAGGAACTTGATTTTTTTAAAAAAAAAAGCAAACATACCTACGAAGCATTCGCATGAAACTCGAACATTTAAATTAAATTTCTGCCAAATTTGACATTCGTCTGTTCCCACATTTTTTAATACGACAAAATTCATATGTTTTTGCTTACATTTACCGTGAGCTAAAAAAATTCTTTAATAAAAGGGCAAATTTTTTTTTATATAAAATTTCTTTACGTATGCATTAGCGAAGTGCAAAAATGTGTTAATAAAGAAGTAATATAACACAACTATTTAAAATTATAAAATTATATAATATAAATTACAAATAACACAACTATTTATATAAAATTTACAAAATTTTTGGGAGAATTTCTGAACGAAGTGGAACAAAGTGGAACTTTATCGATTAACTTAAACAGCCATTGGATTGATGAAAATAGGTATTTCATCACAATGGCTAATAGATAATTCCGGATAAATTTGGTAGAAATAGTACGTCTCAAGCACAGCGCAGAGATTTTTTAAGTAATAGGCCTACAAAAGATAAATAGGTTGAACCATTATACTTGAAATTAATCACTCGGCTATGCCTGCCAGTGAACCCGTTCCTAAAACTTCTTAAGAAGGCCGATATTTTATTGTATTAAAAATTTTTAGCAGACCAGAAATCTGTGGCTTGAAATGAATCATGAATTATATGCAAATATATTGGAAATATTATCTTAGAAAAAACGTTACTGAAGGTTTAATGCATTATATTCATACATTGTCGATGAAAATTATTAAAAATTATAAAACATAGGAGAATTGATAATAAATTACGGAAATCATAGAAGTATAAGCAAGCTTTGTCGTCATCACATACTACTTCATTGATAAATGGAGGAAAAAAAGCGTTAGGAAGCCTTCTGATAGCTTGACATGCGCTACATAAACGTAGATAACCATCTTCTTCACCTCCTCTCTTGTCACAGCCAAAGGGAACAGTGTGTACACTGCCTTAATAATATCACATATATTTTTTTGGTACAATTTTTACAAAAAATACAATTTTTTATTATATTATGGTATTTTTTCCATAATTTAATAATAATACATGAATCGAAGATAATCAGATTTTCAGCTTTTTGATTCATTTCTTTTTTTAAGTCAGATGCAGATTTAAAAGTTAAAAAAACATTAAATGAACAGTACCAATCAATTTCTGTTTTTTAACGCTTAAATTCTCTTCCTTTGTTTCTGAATTGCTGCTTTCGGGTGCATGAAGCGATTGAAGTAATTGATGAACCACTTGCCTTTTAAAACGTTGGTCGTTTTCAGCAATCCGTATCGATGGCGATATTACAGACCTACGAGCCACAGCTCTAAAATTTACTTAATTCAAACGACTTGGTTTTCTGCTTCGTTTTCATAAAAATAAACTAATCGAAAATTAGTTGTATTGAAAATGATAAATGAAAATGATTAAATTAAGAAAGTCCAGAAAATTTTTTGCTATTTAGCACGAAAAACAAATTTCATTTCGATTTAGTTTGATTTTTTAAATAATCAATTTACATTATTGAAATTAATAAATTAATGATCCAGAATAAATTAATGTACGAACAAGAATAAAAATTACGCTGTTAAATTCTGCAATCGAGCAGTAACTGATGGTGAATGAATGTTGCAATCAAGATTGAGTTCAGCAAGGATACGTTCTAGCGTATAGATATTATGTTCTCTTGATTCTTCGTCATTTGGTATATTCTTAGATTGCCGCTACAACACTTGCAGAGGATTATTATATGAATAGAGAAAATCAGAAGTTCTCTTTACTTAAATTTTTATCTTTAGCATCCGTTTCCATTCATTTTTTGAAAAATTTTTCTTTAAAATAAAATTTTAGCAAATATTTCATAGTTTCTTGAAAATTACAACAAATCGGCTTAAGAGAAGTTAAATATCAAGTTAATTCTAATAATTAAAATGAAAATAAAATTTGAATTAAAATTTGTTCACCTCATATTGATCAACAATCGACCGATCGAAAAACCGAATAATTCCTCGCACGTCCCATGCCATCAAATCTGGATTATATGTTCCTTTTTGTTTGAGTTCCTTGACGAGCTCTTGTTGTGAAAGTCGTCGACATTCTTCTTTTGTATTATTCCTCTGCATTTTAATGAAAGTTAGGTGAATAAAGATTGAAATGGTAAGTATTAAATATTAAATTTGGAAAAGTAATTGAAAAACTTTGGCTTAATTACCATAATTGTAAATTTTTGCAAATTATTTCGTTGTTAAATCCTTATGCATAATTTTCGTCTATTCATATTGCTTTCTATTTTTAAATCTAAGACATTCAATGATTTGATTCACTAAAATATTTGAAAAAGCAGCCAACACCCAAATGTCAAGAGATTCTGAGAATGTCAAGAGACAATCAGGTGCTTCGAAAAATTATACAAGGACAGCAACACGGCGGGACAAAAATCGCTATGGTGATATGGCCTTGAGAACGGAGACGGTGGCTCGAATAGGTGATAATAGGAAACTGTTTCGGCCTTCATAAAGTAACTATAACTCGAGGAACGATCAGTGAAATGATGCGGGATATTAATGGGATGCCTATTAAAGCTCTTAACATCGCTTCAGAAGATGGAAAGAATTTTTTGAGGCCAAACTTAACCACAGTGCGCCATCTGTTTCTCCGAATATAACTGATTCGCCCATCAAGCCTTACGTTTGCAACTGTGAATTGTCAACAGAAGAGGAAACAATCCATCTGTAATCCATAAGCTTGAAGCCAATAAAATTCCCGGAGATGGTCTTCGGATGAACTCTTCAAACTCCTCAATCATCTTTCATAACTCACCTTCAACAAATGTTTGCTCTGGTATAGCAAACAGAAACAATACCAGAAGATTGGAGCAAAGCAATCCTGCTAAATGAGCAGAAAGGAAAATTTTTGCAGAGATGTCCAGTAAGCTGATTCCTCAGTAATTGCCGCAGCATGTCCTGTCACCTTTCTTAGGAAATGGAAGATCTCTCGAGTAGAATGCATCCTAATCAAGCTGGATTCAGACCGGGACGCAGTTGTGCTGACCAGATATTTATGCTATGAAGGGTGACGGAATATCGTATCAAATACCAGCAACCCAAAGCCACCTGCTTTAGCGATTCTGAACTTTCGATTCCTTCGATTGATAAAACAGCACTCTTGAAATTGGTGGAATATGACGGTGTTCCAGAGAAGATCATTCTGATCATATTCAACTATGCGATAGAATGAATAATGGGCATCGCTTGTCGGCATTCAAGAGATGTGCAAATCAGTCCAGAGTGTAACTATAGCATCACTTAGAACGCTGATGATGTAGTTCTTTTTGCTGAAGTTATAATGATAAAATAATGCTAAACAATATGTCAACTGCAGCGAAAATTGGATTCAGAAGAAAGTATTTTCGCCCTATATACAAGAGGATGATAAAATGCCTTTTTATATTCATTACCGGTTTAGGAAGTGCTGGATTTTAATTACCTTGGGTCCACTCTAATCCCAAATGGCCAGGCAAAGGATAAAATTGTAACCAGGACAAAAACAGTTAGAATAATGTTTTTTCGGTTGATGAAATCTTTATGGAACCGTCGCGAAATCACAATAAAGACGATAATCCGCGTCCATAAAGTTACGATTCGCTCGATCTTGCTATATGGCCAATGAGAGTGGAGGATATTAAGAAGCTGTCAGTCTTTAACCACTCATATCTAAGATATATTTTTACAATCGATCGAGCGGATAAAATCTCAAATGACTGCATCAATTTTCGCTCAAATATCACCTGTATTAATAATGTTATCGCAGAACGCCTTTGCTGGTTAGGGCACGTTATCCGTCGTCCACCACAGGAGTTGACGCATATTTCACTATTTGCCGAACCCTGTGATTGGCATCAAAAGCGAGGAGGGCCTATCAAGACCTGGACTGGTATAGTCAGGAAAGATTTTGAACTTATAGGGAACCAGCGATATATGGACTTAGATGATGGAAGAAGGAATGGCTTCTATACCTACTTGGTCGGATCGAATAGCTTGGAAACGTCTTAACCTTGCAGCCAGCAGCCTAACCAGTAATGGTGAGAGCTGTTAGAAGAAGAAGATTGACAAAATATCAAATAGCTCTTAATATTTCATATTAACATGAAATATATATTCGAAAATCAAAGATGTACAAAGATTGGAATGGTAAGTATTAGATCAATCATCAAGTTAAGTGGTGGTTATAAATCTTATTTTGAGATGATCTGATGAAGAAATGAACTCATCCTAATAGTAGAGCTAAGCAAATAGGTGTATAGTAGAATATATTTTAACATTTTATTTCTAACATTTCATTTTACCATAATTTAATTTTTCTTCATTTCTTCATTTTAAAGTTATTATGAATTATGAATGCTGGAAAGTTCATCTTAGAATTCGGTCTCCTTTTCTTTACTCTTCTTTTCATATTCACATTTTTTTTTAGTCGCTGGTTTCTCTCCTCCTGATTTGTCTATCAGAAAGACAAGGGCCAATGAGGTAAAAGTTACTTTTCTAGTAAATTCATTATATTTATCGTTCTGCTAGCCTTATATTCAATTTTAGATGTTTCATCTTATAAGAAATAAAAATTTTCACTATTTCTTCACCTGAAAGAAAGAGGAATATATAAAATATGAAATAGTTCAGACCGATTTGGTTAGTGCCGTTGCGAGGTTAAATATAAATAAAGGCAAAAGAATAAGATGAGAGAATTTCTGTTCGGGTGAGAATTTAATTTAAAAGAATAATTTACCGTTGGTACAAACGGCTTCGATACTCTGTCTTTCGATTCCAGTGAATTTTCTGATCGAGAATTTTGATCGGTTTGAAACCGTGGTGAATGATTTTGAAGAAGGAAATCTTTGTTCGACTGAAGTATGTTTAAACGTTCAAGTAAAAACGCTGATTGCCAGCTTGGTAACGATGCAGAAATCGGCGAAAATCTACTCAAACGGCTTTTGTCATCTACTACTTTATCTATATTTTGTAGTAGATTACGAAGCATCATTTGGCAATAAATTAATTTTCTCTCTGAAATGAAAATTTGTTTTTAAGCTTTAAAATAACATTAACTGTACAAAAAATTGAATTAATTTCATGAAATTAAGTTTGGCAAATATGGCATTTTTTTACAATTTACAGTTCGCAATTAATCTAGGATTTACGTTTCATCAAAATATATCTCAATTACCAATGGAACAAATTTTTCCGTTTATGTAAAATATGGCTTATTATTGGATAAATAGGAAAAAAAAGCGGAATATATCACCTGGAATCTTTGAAAAGTCAATTCGCGCACAATTCTGAATTTCTGATCCTTGTTGTTCAAAATAATGAGATCCTTGTACCACTGCAGTTACTGACGAACTGATGATAAATAAAAGAATCGTAGAATGTTGAAAATAAATATGTTGCGTATAAAAAAATGAATGTTTTGTTTCAGTCCACCACAAATTTCTCATGTTACGCTCGAATAATTATGAAAAACTCGTGATCGGAATATTTTTAACATTTCATCGCCAATGTAGGGGAATTTTCAAGAGTTCGTGTTAATGGAATTTTCTTCTGTATAACTGCTCTTGCAGGCTTAGCAACCATGCCTGCGAACATTTTTATTAGTAAAAATCAGATTTTTGCGTTAAAAAATGGTCTTTTTTGAGAATGATGTAGCGAAAATGGGAAAGTTAATGAAATAATTATAAGTTTGTAGATTTTTTCCATCATACATATAGAAATAAAATTCTTGCTTTAGGCAAATTTCAATGACATAAAATTGAAATAGTCATCGTACGTCCACCTATCAACTTCTTGATTAATTAGTGAGACATTTCTTGATAATAAATGAAGTTTAAAAGTTCGTTATATAATATTCGAACCTAATTAATTATAAAAATATTGTAAATTTTTTTCTAAAACTTTTATCTAAATATATAAAAATGTATTTAATCAGATTTGGTCTAATATGGCAGAAAATGATTTTTAAAAAGAAAAGATTTGGAAAACTGCTGAAGAAGGGAATTTTCAAAAGTTTCTACCTACAATATTTTGAACAATATTTTTTAGCACTTTTTAGCAGAAAAAAATATTACTTGTTGTGAATTCCATTATCATACAATGGGATTAATATGAGCTTTTTTGTGCATTATCCCCGTTATTGCACTTATATATTTATTTTCCAGTTTATTTTAGTTCCCATTCTTTAATATTACGATTTAGTTATCTTTAATTTTAATATTTACGAATTTTTCTTTGATTAATGAATAAAAAAATTGAAGAAAATCGCAATGAATCACTAATATTATAGCAGAATTATTCAGTAAAATTCTAAATTGTTACTTGTTTTGGCCTTAATAAAATATTATCCTATAATATTAAGAGCCTATAATATGAAAGTGGTATTACTTTTTCGTAATTTTCATTAAGTCAAATTCTTAATTTCCGTAAATCTATAGGAGTACTGTTTAGGGACTTACATTATCGAGTTGAGAAGCAAGGATTCGAATTTTATTCCAACAGGTCCAATTTGAATTTGCATTTTTATATAATTGATATTATGAAGTAATAAATCTATTTCCGTTAATCTATAGGAGGAGTAGTCATTAAAATCCGAGTGTTGGTGATTCACTCGTATTTCTATCGCCTTGGCAAAGATGTTCACTACATTAACAGCCAGTGAAGCGAGCATAACCAGAAATGATGAGCACTAACTTCTTACATTTTTTGACTGCGTCGATAACAGTAATATAAAAAAGCACTATTTTCGTAGATAATTTCACGCCAACTCTAGTCACAGATTCTGCGAAATGAGTTTAAGGCTATGGCGATAAATCCGATTCATGATGTTTCATTTTAAAAGATTCCGTGGGTAAAAAAGCCTGGCTCATATTCAGAAATAAGAAAATGTACCTGAAATACAAACATTATGCATCGAAATACAGTGGATAAATTGGATAAAAGTTGCTTCACAAAAAAATTTAGTTATATAATCTTTTAATTTCTCCACTAGTTTAGAATGAATGTGATAGTCCAATTATCAGCTTCAATATTAAAGTTAAAGGCATTATCATGATAAAATTATCATTAAATTTTTAATTTTA